TTGCAATTAGACCCCTGATCTATGAAAGCACTTGAGCAACTGCATAACAGAGCATATGAGTAGTCACTTTAATGAAATTACTACTTATATACATGAATTATCCACTCATTTTAAGTGATTTGCTGCATCAAAGCCTTTCTGGTTCAATTAGAGCAGCAAAGCAATGTAACAACTTCCGTTTGGAGAAAATAACAGCCCAAAGGTGGATGTCTCAATAAAGATATTCCCAGAGGATAAGAGAATAAATGGTACCCATAGAAGATGCCCATATAACTACCTCACATCAAGTATGATTATTCATTCAACCTTTTTACCTAGAAGTTTAAAATAAATTTCATTTCAAACCTCGTAAGAAAACTCACAAACTACTTTGGTTTGTGTAAGGGCTGAAGATGTTAATGCTCCAAGAAGCTGGAGAAAAATTGCTGTTTAAAATACCACTTCTACTTTTTAACTGAGGTAAACAGAGCACATTATAAATCTCCAGTGCAGCCTACTGAAGTGTCAGAAGAGCTCATTCAAAGCAATACATTCTCTTCCGACAGATTTTAGTATTATAATCGAAAATTCTCTCCCTCGGATGCACCTGAGAAGCATTAACTTCTTGGTGACTTTAAGAACCAAATCCTTTAATACAAACCTAGCTTTTCCCACAGGCGCTTGAAAAATGTTTAGCATTTTTCCACTTGAATGCAATTTTCATAATAAAGTAGCTCACTCAGCTACCTGACACCCCAGACAAAGGCACCGAGGGAGCAGCTCCTGCCAACTTGGGCGAGTACGAGTGCAACCCCCAGTTACATACCTAAGTAGGCTCTTACGCATCCAATTGCTGCAACAGTTCCAGTAAGTTATCTATTATATATTTTATTAATTACTTGTCATACGTGTTTTAGTCCGTAACATCCAGACACAACTCTTGCACATCCGATGCCTTTCAGTCAACCTTAACGAAGGACACAACAAATCTGCAACATCTGCGACATTTAAATTCCACCTCTATGACCAGTTTTAGGATACCAAAAGCCCTTTGCTACTGTAATGCAGCCTAATTTTAATTTCTGTTGTTTAGGGGCTAGTAATCAGAATTTGCTTGATAAACATCCCTTCTGCTAAGGCAGATTCCTTCACATAAACACACACCCCTTCCTGAACAGCCCCAGCACATCACTGCTGACGCTGCTCCCTGCTTTGAGTCAACCGTTCGTTTAACTTTCCCTGGCCAACCTCTCGGAAAAGCATGGGAATTAGGTGTATTTTGTTCTGTGCCAAAATCCTCAGTCCAGTCTATCAAATGCACAATGTTCCTATTTAACCGCGTCCCCGGCCCTTCCAAGGGTATCATTTTAAAGCCACAGTATATTTTGTTAACTCAAGCCCTGTAATGATCCCGTTTTACTTCCATCCCCTTAGCCTATTAACGCAGGCTAACATCGCGCGTTCTCGCGGCGGCAGAACCCGACGTGCACCAGGAGACTGCCGTGATAGATTACACGTACATGCTGTGTCATATCCAATTAACTCAAATTGACTGTGCGCCGCATTACGCCGGCAGTGCATGGCAGATCAATAAATATGGAGAAAATCCAAGGAGGCGCTCTCCATTCCCATCCAAGCCGAGGAGGGCTGAGACAGATCATGCTCCGCGGCTGGGTGTGCTGCTGCTGGAGAGGGCAGGTGGTGCATAGACACCATTCAGCCTTGGCCTATTCAACCCAAACTCCTCTAACTCGCCATTCATGCATAGCAAAACACCATCTGGTCCTATTTTGCCTCCAGCAATCACAGCTGACCAAAAAACGATAATAACAGCTGTTGCAGAACAAAAGCCAAACAAAGGGGGGAGGGCAAGGTTAGAATGAAGTCCAGTGCCACAAAATAGTCCATGAAGTGAGAGATGGAAAAGGAGCTATTCAAAGAGCCGGTCCCCATTGAGAAGAGGCACTGCAAGGCTTCTGGTTAAACTTGAGATATTTAATCCATCTGTCCTGCGAGCCACAATGGTCAGGTGATAATATAAAATTGAGATTATGTTGCATAGAGGTATTTAAAGGCTTTGTTCTGCAAGCTAGAAACTAATGACCCTGTGTCAGCTAAAAATTAAACCTCCTTATGTTCTTTCATCGTGTGTCAACCTGGGTTAATGTGAAAGTAGAATGTGGTTAACCGGGGTGATAAAGCATCAGAAACCCTGGGAAAAGAAGGGAGCAGTTAAGTACTTGTAAATGATGTGAAGGAAAACACTCTTCAAACTGTGCACAATGCCAAAATCATATGGATACTGCATTTTTCCTGTATAAATTGCACATTAAGCAATTTAAATTAACAGTTTTATTTATGACCTATGATAGCAAAATTATTCGCTTAGACTCAGGGAACACGAACACCAACTTGCACAGTTTGAAACACAAGATGTTCTGCAATATGCTATTGTGGGTTATGTAAAACATAATTTTGTAGCGAGCAGGGGCATACTCCAGCTTTTCAAGATTCAGCTTTTGATATTTAAAATGTACAGTCCTGCTTGATGATTAATTTTGTTTAGCTGCAGTAATTAAAACTATATTTCCTGGAATTGACCATCAGTAGTTCAGCAGCTCTTAATCAAATGTGATAAAACCCAGGATTTATGAAACCATTTAATGAGTGTAATAACACCTGCTTCTCACTGCAAATAGTTGAAAACAGACTTCAGCTGTAATTAACTCTTATCACTAGTGACATTTTTCCAACAATACTTCATAGGTCTTCAAAATGACAATTACAGAACTAATACACAATTACTGTCACATGCAGTTCAGCAATTATTTCTGAAGACATTTGTCCAAAGGTTTCAACAACGAGTATAAAATGGTTCCCTTTGTTATGCAACATTGGTTAAAACAACATCTCCCAGCCAGCCCTGGCTGTGCCATCCCTGGTGTGGGCTCGCTTTCTCACGTCCGGAATAACCACCCTCCCTCCCAGCCGGTACCAGATATCACACCGGGGCTATTAGGAGCACGGGTACCTGTCAAATAACACCTATTATGAGAAGCTTCAATTTTACATGATTTTTTCTGCTCCAAGAAATCTATAAATTTATAATTAGACTCTCTCGCTGTTCAATATTTTGTACATAATAAACAGAGTACCTGAGGATGATGAAATATTGAAAGCTGAATTAATTATTAATAAACTCACGTAGTATAGTACCTCTTCCATCAAGTCTGGCTGCAACTTTTTTGGGGATCTATATTCCATTATTTTTTGGTTGTGGTCTGAGTGTGGTAGCCATGGACACCGCCTCAAACAGGATTAGGATTCTGCTCAGGTTTGACACTTGCTGTTTTTAATTTTCATTTTATCATAAGCAGTTTAAGATTGTTGCCAGTGGTAATTTGCAATTTTTATCAAGACCTCTTCATTATAGCTTCTGACAGGACAGATGCTGTAATTAATCATGCAAGACAACTGGGGATAGTGGTCAGACTGCACTCAACAGCACAGATATTGCAGGCAAAGAAGGGAAAGAAGAAAATAAAGGATTTCTCCTCTCTGTCCAGAGTAAAAATACATGAACAGCACTAATAACCTGACTACATGTTGGATGTGAATGTTTCCAAGTCCTTCATATGAAATACCTGCCCTCTCCATCCCCCTCTAGCGTGTCCCACTTCTATGATAAAATAAAAGTGAGACCACTGGGGATCAGCCCAGCTCAGAGCTGGGGCAATAGCTGCGTTTGCAGCCGAAACTCAGAGGTGCAAAGAACCCCCCAATTTGTGCGTCTGTGCATCTCTGCTCCCGCGCTGCTGCAGACCCGCGTGGCACAGGGGACCACGGACACGTCCTCACCCCACCCCTGCTTCCTCTCTCTGAAGTAGCAGAGACCTGAGAGGTCGTCCTCACTTCTCAGTGGGATCTCGACAGGTACGAGTGCTGATCGCGCTTGCAGTTCCCATTGGTACCTGCTTGCCTGCTGTGTCTGACACAAATCCAAAAAGTTACATAAATTTTGCAGGAAAGTGTTCCCAAAAGGAAACATTTCTGTTTTTTTCTATCAAAGACTTATGGCTCATTAATTTTACTGAAATGTGTTTATTCTATAGCAAGATAAAAGCATTTATTTTAGATAAGCAAAATACAAACAACTTAATTGCTGCTATCATAACTCATAAAAAAGTATAAAACAGCATAAAAACACAATAAGCAATGTAGCAATTAATAATTCATGTTACCAGTGTTTACATTAAAGCCTCATTTATGAAAACTTTACAACACATGATATGAAAACTTACAACTTTTAAAGAAAATATTTACATTGATTATTCGATTGTGGAGTTTCATTTAAATATTCTACTGGTTTTACAGCGTATTAAAAACTCTTGCATTTTTCATCTTAGCTTTCTGCAATAACAGTTCTATTTAAGTGCATTTCCCTTTCAAAAATACAGTGTATTAAATCTGAAACTCATCACTTCAACACGGAATATAATATTCACATCTGTTCCGTAATTGGAATTAACGTAAGAGGGTAAATTTCAATATATATTTTCTTACAAACTATGGCAGGTTTATTTGGAGAAATGAAGCTAATGGTTGGGTCAAATACTTAAGTTCAGTTACTTGCATTTGTTTTTCTGAAGACATTTAGGACAGAAAAAAATTAAGAGCTTTGGCAAAAATCTGCGATTTACTCTATCTTTTTCATGACAAAAAATGCCATCAACTAACTCATGTCATACAAGTATGATTGTATGAAATCCAATCATGGTTTTACAGGTAGTTACAACTGTGCTTTAAGGGCTTTATGAGTTCCTACTGCCTTGAAGTGCATTATTCGCTTTTAGTGAAAGAAAGGTTATAGCATATAACTCTGAAAGGCCATTTTGCAGTCATAAGGTCCTGGTATTTATTAGGCCATTTGATTCACATATTTTAGGTAAAGCTTAAATAAATTAAAAAGGCATCACATGAAAAAGAGCACAGCTTTTTTTTTAAAAACAAACAAAAAAACCAAACAAAATGATTTATAGTCAGCTAAAAGATGATACACAGCTACATTGTAGTTCTTTATTGCCTATCTAATAGACACTTTAGAGGATCATTTGATCTGTTATGCATCCCTGCATAACTACCATCAACAATTTACAGTTTCCAGCCAAATATGGTTTACCCCTACCTCCTCCACCAACACAAAGCCCCGGCGCAGCAGCGTTTCTCTTCAGAAGATACTGACCTGCGACAGTACTTGAGTCTGTGTCTGAGATTGTATCTGTGCCTGGTGCTGCTGGGGTGCTGGCGGAGGGCTCCCCATGGCAGGGAGGGGAGAGGTGAGCTGCGAGGCCCCCGGGGAGTGCTGCTGGGGAGAAGGCTGCGACTGGTGCTGCATCTGCTGCATCTGCTGCTGCTGCATCTGCTGCAGCTGCATGTGCTGCAGCTGCTGCTGCATTTGCTGCTGATTCATCTGCTGCTGAAGATGCTGCTGCTGCTGCTGCAAATGCTGTTGCATGTGGTGCTGGAAGTGCTGCTGCTGCATTTGCTGTTGTATCTGCTGATGCATTTGATGCTGATGTAGCTGCTGCTGTTGCATCTGCTGCATCTGGTGCTGCTGGAGCTGCTGTATCTGGTGCTGCTGGCTTTGCAGTGAGGGACTGACTTGAGATGAAGATGGCGTGGCCACCAGATTTGTCCCCATGGAGCTCATCAATGGAGCTGCAATGTTTGTCGGCATGTTTGGTGCAATGGTAACAGAAGCTACAATCTGGTTCATCGGCAGTCTCATGGCTAATGGTTTTGGAGCAATCGCTCTGGGAAGGGGCTGCTGAAGAGTTTGAGGAGCTGCCGATACTGTCGCGTGTTGAGGAAGAGAAGTATTCAGAATAAGGGAGGAAGACAAATTTGTAGATGCCAACGTTTGCTGAACGGAACGAATTGTCTGGGCCTCAGCAGATTCTGCAGCAGCCTGTATTTGGAAAAGACATTAATTTTATTTTTAACAGAAAAAAAACCACTGTCACTGTTTACATGGAAATAAAAGTCACAGCTACTTGCACGTTTTGTTTTCTATCAGGAAAGATCAATCAGCAGTCTGAAAAAGATCTGAAAAAGACCGCCGATGCACCGATCCACTACATCACCTCTTCACCTGCCTCTGTAAGTGGTACCTCCAGTTCCAACTTGGACAAAAAACTAACTCATGCCCTTGCTCACCACCAGAATGTCACAGATGTCACGTGCATTTTGTGGCTGAAGGAGATAAAAACAGCCCAAGACTCTCTGTATTTATATGTTGTCAAAAATCCCTGTTCTTTGGGAGACAAATGTGAACAGAAGCACATCCCCCCACACCAGCTATCATGGCATAAGAGTAGTGCACAATAAGACTTCTCAAACAACCTATTTTAATTTGTTTGTTGTAGTTCTTCACATCCAAGGCATCAAGACTGAGGTATCTACAGGAAACAAAAGCCTCAGGGAAGCCTGCCAAGGCTGGGTAGAGGGAAGGGGCACAGCTGTGTCAGAGTGGTGCCCTGCTCAGGGACCCTGCCTGCTGCCAGGGCCTGGGGGTGTCCAATGAGACACAGCTGCAAGGAAAGTACAGGCCAAAGAGGCCTCTTGCAGTAAGTGAGGTGCTCTGGTGCCTTTGAAGGCATATTTTTGTTAGGTATATTTAAAAATATTGTGTATGCTTAAATTAGCTATATTTCAGCACCAAAGGTAGGATTTGTCTTTCACAGTTTTACACATCTGCATTGTGCACAGCACGTACAAGAGCTGCCTGAATTCCCTCTGTAAAGGCAATGGAGAGAAAAGGTCTCTTCCAGCATAATTATCTGAGATCTTTTAGCCATTTACCACAGAATATGTCTGTCTCCAGCCCTGCAGGAGGGTCCATCCCATCCCTACCCTCAACAACCACCTCAGATGAAAAAGCTACAGCCAGGATGGCTGAAGTTGGAGGAGATGAGGTGAATACTGGACTTGGAGTGTAACTTCCACTCACAGTCCTCCAACAAGTCACTCGGCAGCCCAGGTCCCATGGATTTGAGGAGAAAATATGATTTCTGATCTCTCTGAAAAGGGAACTTAGGACTGACAAAAGAAATTCCCTCAGAGGTATTCAGGATTCCAGCTGCCATTGAACTTAGCACTGTGGTGCTAAAGTCTCTGAGAATATTATCAAAGTCCTAGAGAAGAGAGAAAAACGCAGCTTCTCAACACAAGGAGAGGAAATCTTCCAGCTTTCAAGACCACATGTGTATAATTTCTGCCGTTGTACTTTTAATCACTAATTAAAATACACAGCAACTTTCTGTGTGATTTACTAATGCTCTGCAGCTGCACATCCAAACAAATATTCTCAGGAGCTAGATATCATCACTTTCTTCTGCTGCTTTCTTGTGATCAAAGATTTTTGTAATTGAACTTTATGAAATGTTATTAGCGAAATAACCACCTGGATTAATTTTTACTCATATTTTAGATGTCCATCAGCATATTTCCATTTAGGGCATTCAGATGCAACAGATCTACAAGTAGTTTAGCGTTGCCGGTTAGAAGGGTGAATTCTCAAATAAGACAGCAGAGCTTTGTTCTCTTCACAAGCTTCATTTTAACTCGGGATCCACTAAAACACTCCACGTGGCTCACTGACAGCTAGTCCATTTGTAACTGTTCTCCAAATTCAGAGCCACCACGCATGTTTTCCCCTCATCTGCAAGAAATACTCAGGCTTTGCCATACAATAACGACTTCCCAGCTCCACACAAAGTGAGTCTGTCTTTCGAGAAGCAGCACTTGAGGAAAAACAAAACTCTGCCAACAGCCTGCACATGTTAGTGTCAAAAGGCCAGTGGATTTTTAATGACTGAATTTTACTTTTGTAGTGAAGTGTGTCATTTTGCCTCCACAGATAATGGACGATGCACGTTTACAAAGTCCCTGTTTGGGAATCAACAGCAATACTGTGCTATTAGAGAGAGGAATTCTTAGGGGGCAAACACTAAGCTGGGTTCAAGCAGCAGCGCAACATCTTGTAGAGCCGTGTGACAGAAATCCTAGGATTCCACTTTTATGCTGCACAACAATTCCCCTCCCAGTGTTCAAACACCATTGCCAAAAGCTGACCTGCGTTACGGTGGAGGCAGTATTAGGCTTACCTTAGAAACCAGGCTTGCTCTGTAGGCAGCAAGTGCCTTTAGGTATTCTTTTTTGGCAGCTTCAGTTTTTCTTTTATATACCTATTAAAAGAGACCACAATTTCACTGATTTCGATCATTAAGACATTTTTGCCAGAATGCTCTCAAAATCACTTGCAAAGAAGCAAAAAACATAAACCAAAAAACCTGAAAACACTCTACTGTTGTATGTGCTTTTTCTTCCCCAAAAGATTGGAATATTCCTGCAGGTGATTACAAACTCTCAGGTCTACTCGCTGGACTTGCACCACAACTTATGTTGATTTACTGTGAATAAAAAAAAGCTGCTAGAGCAGGCAACTGTTTGACAAGTCTCCCTATGCACACTTTACCTTCCCAGAAATGATATTTTAATGACTCTAAAAAACAGGGATATTAAAAGACTGAGTATTTCAGATGCTAAAAAGTATCAGAAGTAGTATAAAATAGTAAAAAATGCCTAAGCATTTTTTTAAAACAAATATTGGAACTACGTATGAAGAAATGGTGGTTAATCGAGCTTGGACAATTCACTTTCCTCAAAGCCAGTATGAGAGAACCCCACGGAGTTAAACAAGAATAGGTAGGCAAAAATGAATTAACCTGTCTTTTTAATCATCAGTAAATGTAAAGTTCACCCTTAAATCACATTCACCATCATCTGTTAGATCAGACTAAAAGCTTCCAAACATATTTCACAAACAGGAGTCATTCGTAGCTCGCCAGAAGGTGTCCTATAGGAGAATCTACTCTTCTATGCAGCTTCCATTAACTGGTACTGGGAGCTGCTTGGAGCACCAACAGGCAAACAGACTCAAAGGGTTTTTATTTTTTCCCCTTGAATCCGTGTGTAGGAGTTATATGTGTACAGAAAGAAGAATAACCCTCAAGGAAGAACAAAACTCATCATTCTGTACCAAGTTTGAGCTGGAGATCACATTTCACACATGATGGTGTAATGAGGCACAGAGGATTGGCTTCAAAGGTTGGGAATCAACATGCTTTGTAACAAATTCATAAGACAGATCAAAGGAAAATGGTAAATGTGCTGTACCTTCCCCTTTTCTCTTCTAACTTCTGATTAATAGGAAACAAGAGCTTTGAAATAGGAATCATCAAAAGATGGTCTTAACAAGACTCTAGGACAATATCACCTGAGCTCTTTTACAAACTGTCCTTTAAAATTTAAAGACAAATACAGCCATTCAATACTACCTACTGGCTGTTATAACAAAATGCTTTTTAGATGCCAGATCTTAAGCAAGTTCAAAAATCAGTGTAGCTGTACAGAGTAAGAGGGCTACATCAGCAAGTTGCATGGTCCACTCAGAGCAGAGGTAGGACGAGTTTTTTACAAGGATTGCTTAAGAGGCAACCCTGCAACAATTTTTTACCTGTTTTTGCTCTTCTCCTAAACTGTCCCACATAGATGCCACGATTTTTGAAACCTCTCCAAATGTAGCATTCGGGTTCTGCCCTTTAATTGCAGCTTGTGTATCCCTGAAGAAAAGGGCATATGCTGACACTGGCTTTTGCGGCTCGTTGGGATCTTTCTTTTTCTTCTTCTTTGGAGTCTTGGGCTTCTTGCCAGAATCCGGAGCAGCTCTTTTTTCTCCAGTAGCCTAAGAAACAGTAATAACAAGAATAGGCAATGTATGCATGAAATCAGTCAGATTAATTCAAAAAAATTACAGACAGTCTGGCTTAATAATATATGGATAAAGCTAAAACATTTTGGAGAGTCCTGTTGCGCTAGCCTTTCTCCCACCAAACTACTTAGTCTCAGCTTAATCTCATCAGATCTACTGGAACTAAATGCATGAATAGTTGCTACTCATTATAAGCATGCCTCAGAGAGTCAATCCCACGAGCCTGACCTGGAAAAGTTCACCACAATGTTAATTTGTGTTAAAAAAACAACCACCAAGATTTAATGTATAGCATATTTTGAGTAGGCAATCTATTTTTTCCCATTAAGATGTAATTTCAGCAGTAGAGGGTCAAAAGACAAGAGCTTGGAGGCATTTCCTGATTCCTAGACTTAGTGTGTCAATTTAGACATGGCCAGGAGTTAAAAATGCCCAGGGGGATGGGGACCCCCGAGCAGCACTCCCAGATCACTGGGAACTCTGGTCCCCATGTGCTCCTCGTGTCCTGCACCCTCTTTTGCTGAACTGTGCAGAGATTACTGCAGCAAGGGGATCAAGGGGCTCTAAATGCACCACTCGATAGTAATTTTACTTTGATACTTTGAGGATCCTGTACAATGCTCTTTCCATATGCACAGTTTCCATTAACTAAGCTGAGAAAAGCTTTCATGGAACAGTCTAATTTAGGCCCTTTAAATATACTGCTATAATAACACACGTCCTTTATTTTGTTGATTAAATTTTCATTTTAGAACAGATTTCTTTAAAGTAAAATTTAAATTAACTAAACTTTCAGCTAGAAGAAAACTTATTTTATTTCTGTCTAAATGCAGCTATATTTCATATGACTCCAGAGAATACCAAAACGACAAAACTGTCCAAAGCTGATGGGTAAAGAGATTTGCCAGATCTATAACATCTGAAATGAATTATGAAGATATTACACCCAATAGAAATATATATTTTCTTACATTTATTATTATGGAGGTATTATGGAAATTTCTTAAGTAAAGCAGCTAAACATCAAATGAATCATATTCCATTTTACTGTAACATTTGTATTTTACATGACTACATTGCAGCTGAGCTGATGCTGCCACATTCATGAAGATACAGCTTACACACAGGTAAAGCTCGCGGCAGCGCTTCGAATCACTTACTCTGTTTGATTCATCTGCGTCTTCTTCATTTATAGAGCTGGATGGGGAAGGAGTGGCTGATTTACTCGCAGGAGGGGAGGGAGAAGTGTGTGGCAAATTAGTGCCTCCTAAATTCAGCCCCAGCTGCGCACTTAGCTGCGACTGGTTAATGGTGGTTAGCTGAGAGGGAGGCATAATTCCCGAGTGAGCAGCATCAGTCATGTGGACAATGGATCTCATAATCAGAGAGTGGTCCTGGCGGTACTGGGAAACTTGGGTGTGACTCTGATCCTAAAAGAGAGTGAAACATGATTTAGTCATTAGCAGTGACCGTACAGCATTGCCAGGTAAAGTTACTTTCACAGGCTTGCAGAACTGACACTGCCAAGCTTGCAGCAGCAAGCTTTTGTTTCTTTTAATCAATTAAATGCATTTTTAGTAAATTAAATGCAGCAACAGTTACCACACTTGCACCATACTTCACTTCTTCCCCACTTGTGGGTGAGGCTTTTTGTGGGTGAGGTTTTTTTTTGTGGGTGAGGGGTTTTTTTTGTGGAATAAAAAGGGCATTTCCCCATTTTTAAACATTTATTCTCTTGATGCGCTGTGAAATCCTCACATCCCCAGC